CAGAGATCTGGTTGACGTGCGTGTTGCCTAAAATAGAAAATACTTTCTGGACAATATTAGTGTAGGTAAGGCAGAAAACAGTTCTTTTAATAAAGCACTTTATGCTGCAGCAAATACATAAAGTGCATGTGAGTGTCCAGGAGTTCTACAGTTTTATAGTACTAATCCGTCCAGTCTGAGAACTGTCTGTCCCAGGACCTCCCCAGATATGCCCCCCTGGCACACCATCCCAGAATTGAGTTGGAGGCCTCAAGACTCCTTTCTTCCTCATCCTCCTCATCCTCTCAGTCTTTGGAGTTCCTCCCAGGTTTCTGGGCCATCAAGGTTGCTTTGGCTACAGTGATATTATTCCAGTCCAGGTGCATATCCCAAACAAGATGTGCTTGCTAGAGTCTTTTCCCTTGAAAAGAACATTAAATAAAGCGTGAAGAATTTAGAAAATTTGATGTGAAGCATAATAACAGGGTTTGGTAACTGTCAACTGCTATTCTAAAGTGTTAGAGACTATACAGCCATACTAAAAATCTGTATTTGCTATAAATCTTAAGAATCCTAAGGCATCATGTGGAACTTCTTTTGGGATGTTGAGTGTGTTTTTGCTGTGTGCATGTTCCCAAGAACCTCACTGAAATTCAGTAACACAGCTTAAGGCATGTGTGGAAATTTAGGGAATATGGTATGGAGAAAGAAGGTGTGAGAAAGCATTTGTGAATTGTCAGTTTAATGGTTCTTAAGGTTATGTGAATGAATGAGTGTCAGTGTGGGAACTTCCCATAAAATGACTTGGTTGGTGGAAATTTAAAGTAAACTTGGTAAGTGTGACTGTTCTTTTTGGGTGTTAAATATCTTTTTCTTGCTAGTCTTGATTTACTTTCAGTGCAGATGGAAAAGGCACCATAACTGACAAAACAAAAATGTCTCTCTGAAGAGTGTTTTATTTTGTAGTGTTGCTTCTTTACGCAAGCTCTTATAATATCTAAAAGAAGTCCCCCAACCAAAAGGAATCTCATTAAAAAGAGTAGGCTTTAAAACTGAATCATTTAGTTTTGTCCAAGTGGGAAGCACTTTCAACCTTGTGATGGAAGGCATCTTGAGGGTTTTTAGAGGAGGCTGCAGCTGGGGTAGTAGTTTTAAAGCAGAAGAGAGTGCTGGGAAGGAAGATGGAAGCAGTGGTAGAGGGGAAAGAGTGGAAGACAAGGTCTGGGCTGGAAGTAGGTTGCACAAAGCTGAGCATGATTTGACTTGTCAATCCCAAATATTAGTTTTCAGGGTTTTTTCCCCCCTACATTTATAGTGCTGTTATGTTAGTTACAAATCAACAGACTCAGTTAAGTTCCCAATATAGAGTTACTAAAGATTTGAATGTGGGAGTTGTATATATATCCATAAAGTTTTAAGTGGATTTTATGGATGCCAGGTAAGAATTTACACAGAAGAAGAGCAGGTTGGAAAATCACTGTCATTATTCCTCATTACGCAGTCCCAGTTCTTATTTCATCTAAAAAGAAAGGAAACAATATTAGCTCATAGTAAACACTTAAAAAAGTACTGCCTGTCATCTGCAGTTACGTTAAAGAGGAGATAGCAGGGCAACTGCCTGGAGAAACAAACCCAATGTACTGATCAGAGTGTTTTCTGAAGACACCGTGCAAATACAAACTCTCTGTGGATTCCGAGTTATTTACTAAGTAATTCCTCTTTTAGCCAGTGCTGAGGAATTATAAATATCAACACTTTCATTAAATATACAGCGTATGTTTCTGTCATATGTGCTCTGAAAGTGCTCTAGAACCTCATATCCTGAATTGCTGCCAGAAGAATCACAGTAGCTTCAGTGAAGCGTGTTTTAGGTGCACCATTGTGTAATCCAGTAGAAAATCTAACAGGGTTTTGTGGAGGTGAAATTTAAGTGTTGTTGGTTGAAATACAGAGTAAAGGGCAAATCTTTAGCAGTTCATAATGTTTAAGTCTAATTGTATTCCAAATAATATAGCATTGGTTTACCTGCATCCTTATTTATATAGAAGTAGCGTGCAGATGAAAGGCAAAGGCAAAGGACAGGTGGGGAGAAACAAAATGACCAATCCTCATCCAAAAGGGAATAAGCCTGAAGAGTATGATTCATCTCTTACCTTCTTTGGAATGTACAGGGCAGTGGGAGATCCTGAGTGAAAATCACAGCAGTTCTTATAAATAAGTTATGTTGGAGGTGCCCACTTCTCAAAGCAGGTTATAAAAATGGCATTGTGTTCTGGTAATTGATGGGTGCCTCTACTTTGGTATAGTTTCATAAACTACACAGAAAAACTTCCTTTATCATCTTAGTTATGAGCAGCCTTAAATGACTCTGAAACTGAAGAACGACAAAAAAAATCATAGTGTAACTGTCAAGAGGGAGGAAGGGAATTGTGTTGCTTGGAAGTTATGAGGAAGTTGGTATTTGGGTTTGTGGTTTTGTGGGGTTATTTTGTTGGGTTTTTTTTTTTGGTTTTTTTTTGTAGATCTGCAAAAGTCATAATGAACCTTCAGGTCATTCTAGAACGTGAGTGTAATCCAGAAATAAAGAATTAGTACGTGAAGTTCAGCATAGACCAAGATAAATTTATTTTAGGGCTAAAGTCAATGTCTGATTATTCAAAGAAAGGAAAAAAAGTAAGTAGTCTGACAGGAAGAGAGGAATTGGAGGAAAATAACTGAAGACTTATCAAAAAACTTGTATACTTTTTATTAGCTTTATAACTTTCTAAAACTGAACTTGTTACAAGGAGAAACAGTGAAGAGTCACAGAGAGCCATCTAGGTTGAAGCTGGTATGACAAAGATTCTTGAAAACACAAAGCATAATTCTGGTGAAAAACAGAGAACTCTTGAATTGTGATGGTTTACAAGGCTTGGTAGAAAGGTTGGGAAGAGGATATATGAAATTGCAAAAATGGCAACGTGGATTTTGAACTAAAAGGAAATTGATGTGCCTGTGGCAAGATTTGACTTAGAAATCCCATGAATAGGAGGAAAACATTAGCAAACTGGATTTGGTGCAAGGAAGAGCAGTGAAATTGAGACAGGAAGGACTGAATTAGGAAGGAAGAGTGTTAATAAATTTAAGTAATAAATTTGGCAGCTTGGGTAAACTAATAAAAGGGTGAAGAGTTGTGCTTGGTATTTAAAAAGAGTAGATGCTCAGAACTCCTAAGTAGGAGCAACAGATAAATGTTTAAATTGAATGTCAGGAAAACATCACAAGTATTATTCCAAGCAGGTTCAGTTTCCCAGAGGTGGTGGGGAATGCTCAAGAGTTGGGCTTGATTTGTCTGAGCTCTTTTTGTGATTATTTCGTTAGACTCCAAGCTCTGTCGTTAGTGGTCTGACACCAGCACAAGGTTTGTCTTCTAGGGGCAGACCTTGCAGCCACTGATGGGAGATAAATACAAGCAGGGTGAATACCAGGATCTGTTTCTTTAAAGAAGAAATATCAAGGAAGGGATTTTGTGCTGGTCAGTGGAAAGGAAAGAAAATTAACTGTTTCTCTAGAAACTGCTACTCATTGGGCTTTTTCTCCTTTTCAGAATTTCTATAGAAATGTGTGGATTAGTCTAGAAATTTGAGGCTTTGTAGTGTTGTACTCAGGTGTGGTTATTAGTTACCAGCGTGTAACAACATCCTGATTAGGGGCTGTTTGCTAAAATGTGAGCATAGGATATTTCAGTCTCCGAAACTCTTACGTTGCTCCACAGAGCAGATGTTACCTTGCTCAGGACATGCCAAATAGTTTTGGATTCTAAGGTATAAAAACCCCTTCTCTTCTCCCCACCATATGTAACTTTGTGGTCGGCCTGATCTCCTCACTGGATTAGTGAGGTCCAACCCTCCTCTGCCAAAAACCGCTTGTTTTTTGAGGTGTACAGAAGAAAATACTAAGGCAGTGGTGGCATTAGTACAAGGTGGATTTGATGCTGTGTTCAGGGTGGGCTTGTTTCTGGATTAATGTATCTCAGAGGGTTCCTGATTAAGTGAAAGGAGGTGATTGAAACAGCCAGTTCTTTTGCTTTTGTACTTGATCAAGAGTGACGGTGGCAGTAACATTGGTGCTCGTGTTTTCTTTACTTGTGGTTGTGTACTTTAAACAAAGGCTCTAGTCGTTGGTGGGATAACCTCTCTTGTGCTTTCACTGGTGGGCCTTCAGTCCCTTTATTGTTCTTGCATGTCTGTGCCTGCTGTTTCCTAAGGGAAGGGATCAGGTTCTTTCATCCACAGGGTTGTTTCTTGTAGTTCTCCTGTTTCTGCAGGCTGTGGACTGTGTGCTGTGCTCCAGCGTTCGCCAAATAAACTCTGCCATAAGCTACAGGAAGAAGTGTTTGTAGCTATAGTGGAAACTTAAAGACTTTTTTGCTGCCATTATAAGAACTGTACATGTTTTAAAAAAACATTGCTCTCTTGGAGTGAGGGATTGGAGTTCTGCTCTGAGGAGAGAGTTAAAAGGTTGGAAAGGAGCCTCGGGAGGCATAGCTTGGGCCTTGAAATTGAATTTGTGTACAGTAGGGTTGTGGATGTTGGAGCAGGTGTTGTAGTTGTGTTTTTTTCAGGCTCTGTATAAATTTGTGCATGAAACTGGGAGATCCTGTGGGAGGGTTGGGTAACCTCTCACCATTGCTGGGCACATGGGAGAAAATTCTTCTAATGGTTGGAATTAATCACTGGGTGCAGACATGTGTGACGTGTTCATGCAAATTAAATCTGGCGCTATAGTGCCTAAGAAATTCCTGAAATCAGAAATTAAGGACAGGGGACGAGGGAGTGGTGGTGTTTCCCTCCCAGAATTTTAATTCTCCAGACCAATTTTCTAGGACTTCCAACCGTGTTCCCAAATACATTTCCAACCACTGTCTCCTTGTTTGGGGTTCCACTATAATGGAAGCAGGATCGCTTATAAAGCAGAAGAGTTGAAACACAATGCTGTGCTTTTAACTTGCACCTGTTTTTTTCCTTCCCCAATTATAATAGGAGCATGGAAAAACTCAATAGAAGAATGGACAGCAGAAGACTGGAATGAAGATGTAAGTGCACCTTGTTGGATATACTAGTTGATCATTTACTCTTTTCAAAGTTTCTGTGTTGTTTCCAAAAACCAAATGTTTGAAGTAATACTTTTCTGTATGCATGCAGTGGTATTTCTTACTGTGTTTCTTGCTGTAATTCCTGTTTATAATATAAATATTTAGATACACTTATTTTTTAAATAAAATTGTATCAAGAAGAAGACATTGATTTTTGCTGGGTGGACAGTACATAGATTTAAAAAATTTAAGGTTTATTCCAAGTTAATTATTTGTGAATTGCAGTTCTCCACTGCCCTATGCTGATGGGTGATAACTGCATACTTCTGCCTACTATTGTATAGAGTTTTAAAGACATATTATCACAAGAGTTTTTATGTAATTAATTGCTGAAGCTTACTGTCCACTTTAAACTTCTCTTTTGATGCTTTTTGTTTGAAATCTGTAAATTGTTCCACTTGGCTCACTTCATGTTCATAATATTGAAAAAAAAGGCGCTAGTAGTATGCTAAAGTTAACACTTAATTGCTTAATTCCTGTTGTTTCATCATGATGTGTTGTCTAAAGTACTACCACAGTTTTGCTTATCATTCTTTATCAGGTGAGATGTGTTTTGGCATTTGTAATCATCTCATTTGTGATGCTCAGTTTTCAGTTGTTGTATTAAAGCTTAAGCAGTTTGAAAAACAAATGAGTGTCAAGAAATATGGAAAGGGAAAGCTCAAAAGAAGTCTTCTGTCTTTTATAGGAATACTCATTATTTCAAATTTGTTTTCATAAGAGTGAGAGATTGTCTCTGAAATCATCCCTTTTGCCTCCTCCTTTAGGGTGGCACGTCAGTGTTATCCCTAGAAATGTGTGAATGTTTCATGTAACAGGTACAAAAACTCCATCCTTACGTAATGAGGGATGTGTCTTTTGAGAAAATTGCAAGAAACTCTAAAATCAGTTTGTTATCTATATCTATATCTATTAATGCCATCAAAAGCTGATATATTTTTTAAACCTGTCCTCAATTTCTGCAGTATGTGCTAGAAATGGACTAATGGCTAAGGATGGTGGAAATTTATGGGTTGTTCTCATCCCTGTTTGGTGCTGGCACTTGTAGTATGGGAGGGGTGTTGAGCAATGGTGACTTGGTAGGGATAGGATTTTTTTAATTAGTTATTAAAACTAAGTAATTTGCACATAAATCTTGACATCTCTAGCCCATTGTTAATTTTTATTAATTTTAGAATCCTGGAAAAGTTCCTGTAACCTAGGAGAAAGTTGTTCATGTGCTGATGTTCAGGAAGAGTGAATGAGTTGTCAAGCTGCAGATATGTTAGCCCAAAATATGCAAAAAGGAAAAACAGACCAATTTGATTTAAAAATTAAAAAAGGCGCATAAAAATACAGCTTCTGCCCTTAAATGTTGTTTTGTGGAAAATGGTTCCCCTTCAAATCAACCTGATCTTGGTCTTTTAAGCAAATTATGAGTTAACTGTAAGGATAGTGTATGTCCTTGTAAGAGATTGGATCTAAATCTTGTGCTCTAAAAATAATTGCATTCTATCACAAAACACATTAAGCAGATTGAAATCTTCCTTTCAAATTTTGACAAAATATCTTTTGCAGGAGGACCCTTGTTGAACGTGGGCTTTTCTAGGAGGGCTGTTGAAAAAATCCAGTCCTGGGCCACATGCCATTGAGTGCCTCTGTCAATGATTTGGAAGTAAAAATAAAATCATTGCTGAATGAAATCTGCTGGAAATCCAAAATTAATTGGAATAGCATTTAAAAGTAAGCCAGTCATGCAGAGAAGTTTGAACCTCTGCAAGACTTGACCTGTTGAAATAAAAAATGCTGTAGTATAACCAAGTGCCCATTTGTTTATAAGAATGAAGACACACCTCCAGAACAAGGGGCTGGTGTCTGGAAAGGAGCAACTGAAAAATTTTTGGGTTTGTAGTGGATGATGAAGAAAGAACAGCTCAGCATGATTTCTTAAAGAGCTGATGCTGTATCAAAAAGCCCCTATTGTACTCTCTCTTCCCTGTCTCTTAATCATTCGTGATTTATATTTCTGTATGTGGGCTCTCCTGAACTCGATTCTTATGTACTACATCCAATTTCTCACTGCTTTTACAGAAGAAAAATGGTATATAAGAGCTGAAAATTACTTATTGATAGAAAAGGTCCTTGAGAAGGGCGATTTTTAGTTTACTGAATCTGAAAAGGTTACTTTAGGAGTATATAATGGGCTCTGGCTTTAATCTAGCAAAAGCATAATATGAACTTGTGGCTGGAAAATGGATACATTGAAGTGTATAACAAGCAATTCAGTAACATGACTAATGATTAAAAGAACCTGGAAGCTGATATTTTTGCTCTCCAAAGGGAAAGAACAGGTGTTTTTCTGAAGAATATTTATGTTTAAATGTGGTGTTCTCTAGTCAGGTATCAGTTGTGAGCAGGTAAGTGAAATTTAACCTCATTTGACATGAGAAGAATTAGATCTTTGTGATCAAATAATCCTGCTTGGTATTTATCTTTAGTAGTGAGTATTGGGCAAATATAATAGGTTGTCAGCATGCTATTAAATAGAGTGGAAACTGCTTGCAGTGAAAACAGGAGGTTGTATTTTGTTAATGGGATATTCAGGGCATGGACAGTAAAAGATCAGACAAATGTTGATATACTGTAGATGGCTCTGGGTGTTCCTCTTAAAATTGTGATCATATTCTCCTGGCTAAGGAAAGTCAAGTCTAACTACAGAAACTATCCAAAGGACAGAAATAGAATACATACAAATTACTGGAAGGTGGATGAAGGCAAACATTTTCTGTACAATATTGGTAGTTGTACTTTTTATTTGGAACAACAGCAACACTTCAAACAAAAAAGAAAAAAAAGAAAGAGGAGGAGTGTGTTTTGGTGAGAGTGTTTCCTGTATGAGAAGGCAGCATGAGAACTTGTTTTAGTATCTTTAAACTTCAGTACATCATATCAAAAGAGCAGTAAGATTTTTTTATTTCTGATTTGCTTATGTTGAGTTTCTGTGAGGATATTGGAGTGTATTTACCTATTCTCCTCACCGTTCCTGTTCTCCTACTATAGGAGATGTTAGCTAACTGTTAAATATGTTGTCTGGTGACTGGAGAGAGATTTTATCACAGGAACAGGAGCTGGAAAGCACGGACATTTCACTGCAGATGGAGGAGATACCCTTGTGAGGCCAGCACTGCAAATGGTTCACGACTGTTCGTTCAGTTCTGGGAACATGCCAGAGCCTCAGTGAAAGATTTGTGAGTGTAGTGTGCAGTGAGCATAATGACTTGGTTGGGAGCTGAAAATGCTACTTCTAAGAAATACTAAATATATCTGCATAATAAAATTGCAGCACAAAATATGTGTTTTGACAAATGCCGTAATCCCAGCAAAGTTGTGAATTAAGTGCTTGATTGGAGCTTGTGGCAGTGAGTTCGCTGCAGAGTGTAGTGTAAATCTCAGTGTAGCTGAGCTGGTGGCTGGACACTTCTGTTTGCATGCTGGTTCACTTATAGGGAACATTTCCTCTCTCACGCATCAAGCATGCTTTTGCCTTGTCACAAACATCCTCAGGCTCCTTAATTTGCTTAGTTTTTGGGATTATTCAGTGTTTTGTCCATGGTTAGTCTTATCCTGCATTGTTTGAGTGTAAGAAACGGTTGACATTACAAAGAATTTAATATTTAACCGAGGGATTGCAGACCACAGGCTGCTGCTTGTGCCATTGGCTGACCTCCTTGTGCCATATAATGGAGTCCATAACACCAGAGGAAGTACAGTACACATCGTTCTGGAAGAACACATACAATGGGGAAAGCGCTGAACAATAGAGGAGCAGCCTTTTTAATGGCAAATATGCTTAAGCTGAATCTGCTTCGTTTATTTTGGTCAGTACACAGTGCCAGCCAGTGGGCTGGCAGCATTATCCTCAGGACACAGTTGTGTTCCAGAAATGAGGGATTAAAGTGTGTTGTGTTGGCAGCAAGGGAAGGGAAAGAAACTTAGGGAAGATCTGTGGTGGTACTAATTTTTTCATGACCTCGTGTGTAGGATGTAAATGGGTGCTGGGAGAGTAAGTGAAACATTTGTGCTTGGCCTCTGAGTGGTGATTACTCCCAGACAGCCCTTCTGTGCCCTTCTTAAATCAACAGTGTTTCATAGGAGAATCCCTATCAAATGTCCATATTCAGTGATACACGTGCTTTCAGTAGAGCTGCCTGTGGGATTGCAGGTGAAATTGGCTTATGTGTGTGATGTCCTTTAACTGGGCTGCTAGCAATGTATGCAATTAAAAATGCATCGTTTCCTGGAAAAGCTGTAGTTAAACAGCACATTCTAAAGGTGTTCTTTGTGAGTGTTTGAGTAGGTCTGGTATTCTTCAATCTAAAGATAAGGTCACACCAAAGGAATTAATTTTGTGCAAATGAAATTTAAAGTATTAACGTTGTACATGGATACCTCTGTCTTGCTCAACCTAACCTGTACTGGTTTAAGACCTATTCTCGTTTACAAGTACTCCTGTCAATAGAAATGAATTAGCCCTAGGAAGTTGTAGCTGCTTTTTAAATAAGAAAAGCTATTAAAAAACACCACAGCAAAAAACCAACCCCCCTACAAACCAAGCCCAAACCTTAACCAGCCAACTTCACTTCCCCAGGTTCCTGGGCGAATATCTATCTATTCTGTAACAGCATGGGGAAAACAGTGCAGTTTTCTTCTGTGGGTGGTCTGACTTGTTACACTAGTATAAGCAATTACACGCTTCTGGTTTTATTACTGTTTTCAAAGTTGCACTCTCAGGGCAATCAGTTAGAGATGTTATTGCCACACAAAGCAGAGCTGCCAAGAAGGAACCATGAATGCTGGTTCACTGTACTTACCTGAGTGCACACCTGCCTCTGCTGCTGCTGGGAGCTGAAATGTAAGACACAGAGATATGTGAAATGAGTGGGAGCAGTGCAGTGCCTTATCCTTCTGCAACAAGATCTGTCAGAGCTGCTCTGTTGAGTCCTAGGTTGTGCCTGCGCCCTGATGATAGACCATCTGTCATGTTAATTACTGTGTAACGGTGTGTTTTTCAGTTAAACTGTTTCCCGAACTGAGGTAGTGACATCGGTATACTGTTGTGTGTGTTTTCAGTAGATCAAATTTCCTAACACTTTAATTAAGTTGGTACTTGATTCTGTGGAGAAGACTCTGCTGAAGTTTGGCTACGTGTATTTGCCTTTTTAAGCAGAGCTGCAGCATAGCTGTTTGTAATGGTAGTTTGAATTTATTTTTATCTTGAAAGTGCATGACCAGGATGAGATTTCTGCAGATGCTGCATGCAATTGGGAAGTGTGAGCACGTGTTATTAAACACCTCTCCTCCTTCTCTGCCCCTCTCTCTTTTTCAGCTTTCTGAAACGAAAGTCTTCACCGCTTCCTCTGTCCCAGCTGAGAATCACGTGATTCCTGGGCAAAGGTAAGCTCTTATTCCATGTTTTCCCTGTGCTTTAAAAACCTTCTGCTTGATTAAACAATGTTAACTTGCACACATAAAACACTGAATTAAACCTTGGTCAGAGATTGGTCAAAGTCATCTCAAAATTGCAAAAGCCTTGCTTGCGAATTGTTGGTTTTATGAGTTCCTGAGTTTAACTATTTTTTACTATGGAAGTGGAGACAAACTTGCCAAATTTATGACCGTAATACTTCTTCTGCATGAGACCTGCTTACAGACAGGAACAAATGTAGCTGGGAAAAAAAGTTTTCTGTTGTTGAAAAGGAAGCTCTGGCTTTGGTGTCCAGAAAATGAAAGGCCTGCCCCTCAAGATGCAGAAAGTGTTCAGAACATGGTGCTGAAAAAATGTGTTAACATGAAAGCTTGCATTGGCATAAAGGTGAATTTCCTTGTAAACATCACAATTATAGGCCTTTACTGATGGTAGAAAGTTAAGATCAAGAACCAAAAATAAATCAATTGCTGCCTTCCTTTTCTTGCCTTTGTCTTCAAATGCCTGTCTTGTGGTGATGTGGAATCAGTTGCCTACATTAGCTTCTGGTTCCTGGAGAGCAGGTTAATGTTGTGTGATGAAGACTTTAGCAATGGCATAGCATGAGATCTGAAAACTAAATAGCCTAATGGTCCCAAACATCCTGGTACTGTTGTAGTACAGCAGAATTTTCCGTATAATAGGGATGTGATTTGCAAGGTGCATGATGTCAGGTGTACTATAGTTCATATTCCTGTCTTTCTTAGGGGTAATATGCTCCATTCTTCCAGTGGATGTCCCTCAAATAATGTTAGAAAATATTTTAGTTCATCCACTCAGAGAGGGGTGGGTTTTTTGTGTTTGTTTCTTGCTGTCAAAAAAGTCTCTTCTGTCACTTTTGTATGGCGGATAAGCAACATTGGAAAAGACTGTTATTAATAATTCTGTTGCTGGGATGGCAGCTTTAGTATTGTTCATGCTTTCTTAAGTGTCAGTGCAGTTTAATGATCATGTTCATTACAGCCAAATTTCGCTTTGTTTTACAGCATTGATTTGGTGACACTGCTTCAAAAGCCAGTGACATCTACCCAAGAGACAGAAGGCAACTCATTTGAAGCTGCTCAGTCTCAGACCTTTGGCCAAGCCTTAGTATTCACAAATTCTCAGCACAGCACACAGATGGCATCAGGAACTGGCAGCTCCAGTGCTGTAAACTCTTATTCTCCTCAAAGTCTGGTAAAATGATCTTATGCTTTCTAAGTATTGTTCATAAATAAATATTTCAGGTTAAACAACTTTTCTAGTGCTGGTCATTTCATGGGGTGTTCAAGTATTTGTAAAATTCAGGTTGCAAAGGAAGAATTCCATTCCTTCCATTCACCACCACCCCCAAATATTATTTTTTCATTTTGCTAAGTAGTTTTTTCTATATTTACATGAAGTAATTGTATTAATTTTTGATTAGAGAGCAGATGTGTTTGTTGCTTGCTGATGTAGGATAAAATAATTTGTTTATAGTGAAGAGCTGAAAGCCAGAAAACTGGTGGGTTGTTTCCAAGCACATATTTGACTGCTTTTTATGGAAGCATGCCTATTTCTGAGTCAGTTGTGAGGTGTGAAGTTGGGCATTTATTGTCTGAAAATTGGTTCAACTATTAGTTAATATATGCTATTTTTAAGATGTGTGGGTTCAAGTAAATTAGTATTATTGCAGTTACAGTGGTGGAAGTTTTTACTGGTCATTTGGTAGTAATCTAGGTGTAAAGAGATTTTAGTTGCTGCCAAATAGCAGCAATTGACCCTGTGATTATGTTCCAATTAGTAATTAAAAAATTCACTTCTTCCCCTCTTCTTTTTTGTCTTCTGGTAGTCTGCAGTTCTTTGTTCTGGCTTTGGAGAACTCAGATCCTCTAAACTGGCAAACTCTACTGGTTCCCAAATCTTGGACCAGTTGAAATCTCCAGGATTGGGTCAGTTTACCTCTCAACAAAACAACAGTAATTCTGCCACCACTAGCACAGCTGCAGCATCATCCTGGGATCTAAAACCACCTATTACTCAGTCCTCAGTCCTCAGTCAGTTAGGTAAGTGCTTTGGCATAGCTTTTTTCCTCTTTCTCTATTAGCCCGGAAACATGTCTTAATGACAGTAACAGTTTAAAATGGCTTTAACCGAAAGACTTCTAAAAAATGTAATCTAACTAATACAATTACTTACAACATTGTAAGAGTTACACTTAGTTGCTGGTAATGGACACCACCAGTATATCACAAACTAAGTATTGATAGGCTTAAGCCTATCCATAAATGTCATTACATCTTTGAAGTTATTGAGCCTTCCATGTAATGACATCTTTGATTTAGTGTGCTTGAATATTTAAATGGAACTTTGTTGTGACTAGTTTTCAACAAAGACTGGAAAAGACTTATTTTCATTGTACCTCTGCTGCTTCTAGCTGAGCGTAAAGTTGTATTGTTTTTTTGCCATTTCTTTTCCCCCCAAATTTTCTCTTCTAACCGTTACATGAATTTTGAATGAGTACTGTATAATCTCTTCATAATGCACGTCTCAGTATTTTTTCCCTAGCGTGCTGAGAATGATTCAGGTTACTTGTTTTGTCTATTCATAATTGTATGAATTTTTCATGTAATTTAATAAAATTGTACAAACAGTGAAAATGATGGAAACTTGGTTTTTGCAGTGTTGTTCCTAGCAGTATTCTCACTGTGAGAAGGTAGCTCTTCTATCTCTCATGTGTATGTGTACATGTTTATGTATAGATAACCAGCCAATTTTGTAGCAGTTACTATCTTTGACAGGCAGAAATTCTGGAAAAAAAAAGTTTATGTACATTTTAAGTTGCTTTCTAAAGGACTGTACCAACCAAAAAAAAAAAACCTGCATGCTGCAAATGCTGTAGATCTGTTATGGTTGTTGATCAGTGCTCTGGGCCACTTCATGGCTTTCAGCATCTGAAAAATACGAAATGGGAAGACTTGGGAAAAACCTGTCAATGTCCAGCACCTCTGACTCTCAGCCATTATGGGATGGTAGATGACTTTCTATTTGTTTTGAAAATCTCCTCCTTTGTAAGGACAGGGAATCCTAACTCACAATACTTCTAAATCGCAACTTTTTACCTCTTGGAAGTAGTCAATTTTATCAGCACAGTTAATTACAGTGAAACTTGCAGTGTTTGATTAAAATAATCCATAACAGTTTTTGAGGATGGTGTAGATAGGTTTGTTTTCATATTTTTGGGGGAAAGCTAAATAATACTTGCCCACAGGTGTTTATTTAGAGTAGAGGATATCAAGTATTGTTGTTATAGTTACAGTGGTAATGTTCAACGTGAAACTTGTGTGATCTCTGAAAGAGACTTGCACATGCTATAAAATCGTAACTGTTGAGCATGTCAGGTCACCCAGATTCTTCCATAAAGAGTAGAACAGTGAAGAGCAGAGTTCGGTGCTTTAATTTTGATATTTCTTTTTCCCAACACTGACCAGACTTTAAATCCCAGCCTGAACCATCCCCAGTTCTGAGCCAGCTGACACAGCGACAGCAACAACAAATACAGGTGGTTCCTGTTCCTCCTCCTGGGCTGGAGTCCTCCTCCTCCCAGGTAAAACTCCGAGAGCCATCACCAGTAGACACCTCTACAGCTGTTAGCAAAATATTGCAACTTCCCACTATATCTATGGATAACCAGGCAGTGGCTGCCCATCAAACCCAGCAGAAACAGATAAAACCACCAAAACGGAGGATAACTCCAGCATCCAAGGTAGGTAATTGGATGGTGACTTGTACTTAGTAAATATAAAAACATAGAAGAATTTGTATTAGCAATACAAGTGGGGGCAGCAGGACCAGGGCAGTGACTGTCACGTGTACTCGGCACTGGTGAGGCCACACCTTGAGTGCTGTTTTCAGTTCTGGGTCCCTCATGACAAGAAAGACGTTGAGGTGCTGCAGTGAGTCCAGAGGGAGGGCAATGGAGCTGGGGAAGAGTCTTGAGCACAAATCCTACAAGGAGCAGCTGGTGAAGCTGGAGGTGTTTATCCTGGAGAAAAGGAGGCTCAGGGGGGACCTTATAGCTCTCTACAATTGCCTGAAAGGAGGTTGTAGCCAGGTGGGAGTTGATCTTTTCTCCCAAGTAGTAAGTGATAGGACAAGAAGAAATGTCCTCAAGTTGCCCCAGGGGAGGTTTAGATTGGATATTAGGAAAAATGTCATCACTGAGAGGATTGTCAAGCACTGGCATAGGCTCTACAGGGAAGTGGTGGAGTCACCATCCCTGGAAGTGTTTAAAAGATGTGAAGGTGTCCTGCTTAGGGACATGGTTTAGGACTTGGCAGTGCTGGGTTCAGTAGTTGGACTCGATCTTAACGATTGTCTTTTCCAACCTAAAGGATACTATGATTCTGTTCAGTGTATATATTGTATATAAATTGCTGGGGAAAAGGAGAGCAAAGACCTTGGTATATTATATGTTTATAAAGCAGGAAATCCTAAGTCATTACATCCAAAATAGAGTGGTGATGTCTTTTCCAAGCACACATCTGTTTTGCTCTGTGTGGAAAATGACTGAGTGATTTTTAGATTGACTTAATAGCCACAATATGAATATTGTCTGAGGGGGAGGAATGTACACAGATGACACTTATGTACTATAGAATAGTATGGTTTACTCTTTCAGCTCCAGATGAGGGCAGAATCAATGAATTAATTCCAGGTTGCAGGGATGTAGTTACTTTATGTAGTATAAACTGTTGTCACGGTTTTAGTTAGCAGCATAGGCTGAGGCAGTAACTGAAAAGACTGTAGCTAAAGAGAGGAGAGGGTGTCAGTTACTGATATTATTAAATGAGACAGTGCATGCAAAGGTATCATGACTTTTTTTCTTCCTTTAAGATTCCTGCCTCTGCAGTGGAGATGCCTGGATCAGCAGATGTGACAGGGTTAAATGTTCAGTTTGGAGCTCTTGAGTTTGGATCAGAGCCTACACTCCCAGAGTTTGGATCAACTTCAAGCAGTGAGAATACCAGCCAGGCGACCAACAATAGCTTATACTCAAAATCTATGAAGTATGTGTGAGTTCCCCTCCTGCATTTGTCTTCTCGAGGGGGTCAAGTTTGTGCCAAAAACATCAAGACATGGTTACAATGTAATGGGAGGGGAAGATGCGATGAATTGTCATGCTAAGTGTTTTCTGTGGATTGCATCTTAAAATGAGAAATTTCTTCTCTAGTGATAATCAAAATCTCCCTGGATTGGGTGGATGTGAAGATGGAGATGACATGAATATAAATAACCTTATAATAAGCTACCCTTTATAGAAATGCTTTCTCATGTTTAGTTGCTCTGATTTTCAGATTTGTTTGAGGGTTTGTTCCTCACAACCCGCATTTTTCTCTGTTTGATCCAGGAGAATTGACCTTTGTACCATATAGGTGTATCAGTAGATTGGCATCAGATTACAGATCTGATGCTCCTATGGGATCAGAAAAGAAGCCAGTCTATCAGTATGCCACAGTTCTTATTGAAATGCTAAAATAGCCAGTGATGAGTGCCAACGTGCCAGTAACCCATTTTTTCATCCTTATTCAAAAATTGGCATCAGTTAAAAGCTTCCTGAAGTTAGTTCAGAAATATTAATAAAAATAAAATTTCACATTAATTTCTAGTTTTATGCATGATTTAAACTATTTGGAAACTAAAACATTCCTGCATATTTTTAAGTATTTTTTTTCTTTGCATAATTCTATCTGCAACATTAGAATTCTAATGTAAAGAGACTGTGTGTTTCTCATTATATACCAGACTTCATCGATCTGCTTGTTTAAAAAAGAGAGATTATGAATATTAATTTATCTTTTGAGAAAGTGGAAATAACATGACCGAAAGTGCTTATGTGTAAACTCTTGTTTTGGTTGGGCTAGAATGAGGAGGTGCTTAGTGTAGCTGCTGTTTTGAAGCAGTGATTAGCAGGGACCAAAACAATATTACACAATTTTTAAAAAATTATTACATTGTCTAGTATAAATAATGTAGATTTGTCTGCATGTCTAAGGTAGTTCTGGATAACTGTGTAGGAGCTGATACTTTCACGAGGGTATTTGAGATACTTACCAAGATGATAAATAATTTTTACTTTTTCCAGTGATCCTTTGAATACCTCTTTGCCAATATCCAATACAGTACAGGAGTCCACCTACACAACCTCTGCCATCAGCTCTTCCAGTCTGACCTGCTCATCCCAGAGCACTAGCCCAGTAACAACTTCCTCCTATGACCAGACTTCTGTGCATGGTAGGATAGCGTACCAAAGCTCCATGGCTCCGTCAGAACCAACTCCTGTGGCAGTTACGGTGAGTCCAGTTCAGAAATAATGTCTTGAAAAAGGGGAAACGTTCTTACCTGTGTTAGGCTTGCATTACACTGGTGCGTTAATGTCTTAACCAAGCCAAGTGGTATTTTTGGTTTCCCGAGCCCAACCACTTACTTGTTTTTGCTTCTCCTAGTGTGTAGTTGGTTTTGGCAATACTGTGTTTGGGATATAAGAGCCTCGGATTTTGTGGCTTCTTAAATTTTCTTTCGACCTTTTTTTTTTTTTTTTTTTACTAACACATAAGATTCTATTTGAGTTTCCTTCCCTAAAGCTTAGCTTTTAAAAGCAGAACTATTTCTACATAAATATTAGTCATGGTATTTTGCCATAACTTGACTATTTCTATCCAAAGGTGTATTATTTATTAACTTTATATGGCACCTAGCAAATGGATCCCAAACTTTTTTTGGCCCCTCCAGCATTACTTTTCTGTTGGATTTGAACACCAGTGGGATTTAGTTACATGTGTTATTTTAATAAGCATAAGGAGAAGTCTAATACAGGACAGAGAGAATCTCTCTTGGGAGATTCAAAACCATCTACTCTCTATGTATATGGAACGTAGGTTTGTTTTAAGAGGACTAAATTTATTAAATGTTTAAGCAACTTGTGAGAGTTTGTAAGTTTATTTACTTCTGGCCTTTGTTATGTGTTGGCTCAGTCACACTTGTCTTCTGCACTAGCTCGTATGTACTGGTGAGGATCAAGCATAGACTATCCACTTCTGTACTCCAGCGTTACCCAAAAAACAACTGGTGCTTCTCAAGTCTTATCTTTCAATGGAAAAAAATTGGCGTCTCTGTGTAACTTGGATAGTTAAAATTGTGAGTTGCATTAGATCAAAAGCACAACCATTTCCTATATGTTAATGCAATTCTTTCTTTCATATTGGTGTGAACCTGAAGTTTATGTCATATACAGTACATGGGAAGGTCTGCTGCTGATGGGTGCATTATGGGCAGTGGATGGGATTCTGTGTGTTGAGGACACCTTGCACTTGAGACAACTTTATTATGTGGTTTTGTTAAAGGCAATAAAAATTTAATTTTCTGCCTTGTCGTTCAATTTAGAATGAATATAGAATTTTGCATGAAGCATGTTGGATGTGTGATTCAGTCTGAAAATGGAATGTACCTCTAAGATGATTTATTCATTCGTTTCTCCTTTGCTTACAGAACGGGCACAGCGGTGTTAGAACACAGGCAACTCTTGACAGTAAGTTTACAAAGCTTGGTTGTGCACAGTACTTTCTGATCTTTCATTACTACTTGCTGGGTACACAGGTGTAGCAGTGACATCAGGCTTAAGGTTTTATATTGTTCTCCATGACTAATTTATGGTTGACCTATTTGAGTTTATTTTGTGCTTGCACAGGATATACTGCTTGCTTCTTGACTAAAATTGAAGTATGAAAGCAGCTCTATTAAATCTACAAACCTAACCAGCCTCAGAATTAGAGAAGCTGCGTTGCTGCTGCTTTTTCTTTTGAATTTGGCTGCCAGAAATTATTTAATTTAAAATAAAATTACGAAATTAAAAATTAATATAAAATTTCTTAGCAGTTCTCCCAGTTCTCAGTTGGGAAGCTGTGACTAGTATTTAGCTGTAATGAAACAAAGTCACATTCTTTGAGTGCGCCTCATACTGGGTATGTTGCCACCCGTGCCCTGTTAGAAGCCCATGGGGGATAAGGGTGAAGGACACATTCCCTCGGCTGGTACCTGGATGCCTTGAAACAGTACCTCAGTACTGACTCTCATACGGGTGTTACTGTTTCTCCATCTTGGCCTGTTTCTAATGTAGTAGTGACCTGTAGCACCCTTACAGCTCTCTTGCTGGAGTTAAAATAATTTAGGTATAGTGTTCACTCTTCTGACCTTTATATGCTGCTCTGTGGAAGTTTTCAAGGACAGCAGTGTGAATTAGCATCTTTTGGAATTCCAGCACCTCAATTTTAGGTCCAACCTCCTCTTAAACACCTCTTCAGGTGCATCATTAGTGGGATGGTGTTTTGTTAGTGCCAAGTTCAAAAAGTCACCATGTAAAAGACTGACATATATAAAGACAACTTTTCAAGTGGAAAACTTTCTTACTTTCTTGTACAGAATTAATAAACAATTTATGAAATTCACTACAGGACTTGTCTTTTTGCTACAGAAAAGAAAGATCTGGGAATTCCTAATATTTTTGAAACTGTTCTGTAATGGCTTTATTAGTCTCTTTTCCTGTGCAAGTTCTCTTTTGAGTACTTTTCTGCATTTTTCTGTATTTCAAGCATATAAATTGGAATCAGTCTTCTTTCATTAAGTCTGTTTCATGCCTACAAGTGATATTAAATTTCTCTCTTAACTATTGAAAGTACTGAACTTTTCCCTTCTGTATGTTGCTATAATGTTCTTAGTTGTTCATCTCTCAACTGTTGTTCTCCCTAAATATCCAGGTCTCCTGTTTCCTAAACCCTTAGTTCAGAGCCTGAGTGATGTGTTATAACTCTGACATCCTACTCGTCTCCTGGCTTTCTTTGTCTTGCACATTGTGTTCAGGCATCTTGTAAGGGGTCTTAAGATGGTGATTCCATCCCTTGAATTGAGGACATCAACTTAAACTTCAAAAAGGGAACCCTGCTTTAAATCTATTGAGAGCTTTAGACATTATCTACTCCTTTTTTAGTGTAAATATTGCTGGGAGGTACCAGGTGACATAGTTGCTGCCTTCATAACTATGTTTATCACTTGGAACTCAATTTTCTGTCATACTTATTGCCAAAGCAAAGACCTCTTGATTTCTGTTTGCATTGCAGCCCAGCAACCTGACTTGGGTCATTTAGCTAGGAAATCAAACCAATAAATTAAACAAACTGATGTGTAACTTCCAACTGTGTATTTGACTTTTCTTTGGTGACCAGTCTAAAAATGTCTTCACATGCCTTGCAAGGTCACAATGATCCACTGAGGAATGGTCTCTGGTGTGGTATAAAAGTATGGCCCAGCAGAAGGCAGGGCTCAACTGCTTTCTGAGTTTTATTGGTGGCTGAGTGCCTTGATCACCAAGGGTGCTGTGGGCTAGAATGAAGAAACAGAGCTGTAGCTAAAACTAGATTTGTACAGTGCCTTGAAAAGGCACAAATGACGTGTGTTTGCCGAACCAAAATCAAGGAATTTAGAAATTACTTGTGAGCAAAAGCTAATAATCCAGATAGTGACAGGTGAGGTGAAGACGACTAGTGTACTATGTGGGTAGCACTGAAAATTGTAAATCTATTGTAAGTAAAGAGCTTAAAAGGAACAAAAGGTAGTTCAGTTGCTGTTTAAATTTTCTTAAAAGCCAAATTGCTTGATATGGTTACCAGTTCTTAACAGTCCAGTTTTTATAAACCAAGGGGGAATACTACTGTGTTCCTGAATCCAGTCTGGGATGTCAGGTGTGCTGGAATTTTTCTTTGAATGCCTCTTTTTAACTTGTTGCAGCTACTTCATCAGTTCCAGCACCTAAGACAGAGCCTTCTCCCTCACTACCCTCAGCTGGTTCTCTGCCCAGTGTGGTGTCCACCACAGCCTCGCTCCTGCCTTCAGCACCGCAGCACGTGGCAGCGTTGCCCAGCTTGCCTCAGTCCAGTGATCTGGCCAGCAGCTCACTCTCCCAATTAAGCAGGTACAGTAGGAGTTGTGATAAACACAGGGTTCGCTTTTGGGGAAAGGACAGGTGTAAGGGTGATTCTGTATGGGACTATCAGGCACCAGAGTCTCCTTCTCTGACGTGAACTAGAATTAGGAGAGAGTTTCGGAAGAGAACAAGTTGGTTCTTATTGCAAAGTATGAGCTCTTGGCTGCCTCCTAATGGCAGAGCAGCTGCTGTCCCAAGTTTCTGTGGTATATACACAGCTTTGTGTTTCAAAGGGTTTGCTTCAATCATGCCAGCTACATTGATTTCCCTTTTTTGAGCATCAGACCATACATGTGTTTTATGTCTTTATTTTGTTTGCCTTTGTTCAATGTTCATTTGGTTTATTGCATACTGCATGGAGTGGCATAGAGTAAGTCACATTCTTGATGTGGAATGTAAGGTATAACTTTTGTCAGTGTAAATGTTTAAGAACCAGTTTCAGTCACCTTTTGAGGAGACATTTAAAGACTTCTGGATGAGTTATGGGGCAGATACCCTGCAGTTCCAATTGGTTGAGTTAATATTATGCAATTTTAATACCGTAGTGAGTCAAACCAAAGCACTGCCTCACTTAAAACCTGTCCCCCATGTCAGGCAACAGCAGTTGCTCAAGGAAAGAATGGGAAACAGAACTTGTGTTTGCATGAACATTTTGATTTTGGACTTTGTGTCTTGGAGTCATTGCTACATAATTCCTGAAGCAACTGTTGTTTTTCTAAAGATAGAGTAGATTGAAAAATACAAATGAATGGCGTTTTGGGTGTTTCTTGTTAGCAATAGTGACTCTGTACTTGAATTTTTTCATTAAAAGGTAAGAGGATAATAATTAAAGGAAAAATGCCTGTAAGGGTGTATGTATATTTATATATATATATTTACGTGCCTCTGTGTGTATGTATATAGGCACCCTTACAGATAATTTTTTTGTTCAACTATATGTGTATACACACACTCCCCTAGAATTTTTGGTCTTTAACTGATGTCCTGCTGCCAATCTGTGTTTGTATGTATATGTGTGTATATACACATGCATATATATATATTAAAAATAGTTCTAAGGAAAACTAATTTTGTTAATTCTTTGCAATTTCTTTCTAGCTCCCTTTCCAATCATCAGAGCAGCCTGTCCCCTGCCTCAGTGTTGTCTTCAAGCACATCACATGTGGTAAGTCCTGTTTGTATTTCAACAGCTGTTTGGCATATAGTCAGTTTATCTGATAATTGAGACCCTCTCTTCAAGTTTGGTGTGTCCCAGTACCCTGAGAACTGAAACAAGAGCCTTATGTCAGAGAAAAGAGACTGCCAGCCCTCTAGTGGCAAAAAAAGTCTTTACCACTTGTGATTTGTATTAGATCAGGAATAACTATCACAGAGATTTGCCAGTCATGCAGCTGCAGAGGAAATTGTCATGCCAGCAAGGGGGGATGAAATAAAAGAAAAAAGGATGTCTTGTAACAAATTTATTAAAAAACCCCAACAAACAAACACAGAAGCGGTGATCTGAAATGTCTCAAAAATGGAGAGATTAGCTGGCAAAATGCAGGTGATGGAATGATATATGTTATGTTTGAGTTACTATGGTATAATTTTGTGATGATATAGCAGTTGGAATTTGGCTTTCATGTAACAATTTTCTTTGAATCGCAAAAAAAAAATCACAAGCATGCAACTTAGTTGCTTGTTTGGAATATAGATAAAACCTATCTTTTGCATGTGCTGCTGTTACTTAAAGGTTTGTTGTTTTTTTTATTTTTCTTTTTATTCCCCCAGCCTCTTCCACTGTGGTTTATTTGCTCTGTGATCCTCATTCTTTTTGTCTCCTTTCTAGCACACTAGTATTGAGAACACAACTTCGCTCCAGCCCTCAACAACCTTTTCAACTGCTTCAACCTCAGCCACTAGCACCACCTCCTCGGTTGTCAGCATGGCAAGCAGTATGAACACTACAAACAGCCTTGGCCTGAGCGTTTCCAGTGTGTCTATACCAGCTGCCACCACACGGGCAGCTCCCTTAGTGTCTTCAGGTTGGCAATATTGACAGATCCGTGGATAGACAGAGGATTTCAGTCAGCAGGGCTGTCAGTTGAGCATCTCACCAGCCATAACTGCGCTAAGAAGTCCACACTCTTGACTAGCATTTCCAGTGTGCTGTATTTGCTGGCTTATGAAATAAAATTGCCTGGTTTTGTCTATTTGAAATATTCATTAGGGTGTTATGTGGCATTTATATAGCACATTCCATCCCCAAAGAACTTTATAAATAGGCACCAAAGCAGTTCTGACTTGGGAAGTTTTGGGCTAGAAAATTCACTCAGTTTTGTATTCCAAGTTGTGATCAGCTCTTGGCTGTGAGTTCACATGAGCTTTAATTTCAGTCTTCTCTGTGACTTGAATTCATTTGGCAGTATCAGAATATACTGCAGTGTCCTCATTATCATATGTCACATCCCTACTGCCACTTCTATAGAAAGGAAGAAAGTATCTGGTGTCTGGGTATTCCAGAGCAAACAGCACTTCAGAAGGGGGTTACATGGAGAGAGAAGGCTGGGAGGCTTCCTGCACTGATGTGGAAGCAACGCTTAATTCTCTTTCTTACCTAATAAACCTGAACTGCTAAAAGGAAATCCTATGGAGGGAAGTGAATGATCTAATACTAAGATCAAGCTTACTTACAGAAGGATTTCTCATTTCCATAGCTTGTAAATGAAGTGTCTGATGACTGGCTGAAGTGCTTTGTTCTTTTACTGTTCTGCTTCCTAGCACTGCTTCATGGAGGCAGCTGAAACCATTTCAGTCATCTTCTCTTTGCTATTCCCAGCTGCAGTAAGTCACCCACAGAAAGTATGCTGGTAGCATTTAGTGCTTTCCAGTCTATTGCTGGTGATAAGGGGGAATGTGTTGATGGAGCAGAAAATGAAAGGAGAGAATTAGCTCTTTCAGATTGCAAATGATGTCTAAATTTGCCTTCAGGAGAGGATTGAGGAAAGGAGAAGTTTCTGTAGTTCTTGTAATCCTCTTGGACAAACTAAATTAAAAAATCAGGCTCTTCTCTGGTGGGACTGTTTTCAGTCTTAAGTAGCCTGTGCTTTCCCTTCCTTAATGCATGGTTAAACTCTTCAGGCTATTTTGAGCATTTTCATCAAAGAGCACAAAACTCTTCTGCATAGTTTTGCTCTTTACAAGCTAAGACAGTGCAGCCACCAGAACCTGTGCAGCTATCTTGTCTCAAGGCTGAAGCCTTTTCTTTTCTAAAGGCTTGTTAAAATGTCTGTATTTTGATTCTACAGGCAAAGCTCCCCCAAACCTGCCCCAAGGTGTACCACCCTTGTTGCATAACCAGTATATTGTGGGACCTGGAGGACTTCTGCCTGCCTACCCAGTAAGCAGTTTCATTGTTTTTGTCCTTAATTGCTTAACCCTTGGCGCAAGTGGGCCCTCCAGACCTGCTACTGTCTATGCCAAGGCATTTTTGGTGGCACATGTCACACCTGGAATTCTTGATCTAAATGCTAAAGAATATATGAAATATATTCAGTAGAGGATTACTATTGGTAGTAAACTGCAGAGCTGTTGGTGCAGACCTGATCTGGCTGCTCTTGTAGCTAAACATGTGTTGCTATGGTTTTCAGTGTTACCAGGTTTTAGTCCCTTTGAATAGAATTAGGCTCATTTAGGTTAGTATTATTGGAATAGATTTACCACAGTAATGGTTGAAATGTGCCATGTGTCCTATCTGCAAAGTTGAAAGATTGCACATAATTTTTTGGTGTTTGACCAGGATCGAGGTATTTTTGGTCATCCGTTTTTTGAATCAAAAACTTTGTTCTGGTAATTTTTCTATATCACACTGAATGTGAGGGGATACCATAGGTTGCTTTGCGGCCTAGTCATCAAATCTTAAATCTTGCTGCTCTCTGAAGTAATGATTACAGCAAAGAGGGCTGTTGCTCTTACTCCCAAACCTGAATGCCCTGTAGATTTTTTGTAGGTTGAGGAATGATGCATCTGTGAAAACTGTATTGAAGATGGGACAGTCAAGCTCCCCTCAGAGGACTGCTGTCATCAGGAAACAACATCAGAGTGACAAGCCAATTTTAACCTTAGTTTTCCACTAGTCTTAAAATGCTACAGTGCCCTGTTAACACAATGCTACATAAAGCTGTACACCTTTAAAATAGAATGGGCCTAAGTCAAACTCTGTTCAAAGCCCCAAATTGATCAGCATCAGAGAAAAGTGTTATAATGATCTTGTATTTTTATCTGTCTTTAAGCAGATTTATGGTTATGATGATCTCCAGATGCTTCAATCCAGGCTGCCAATGGTGAGTAAATGACTTGGTTTATTTAATTTTAAACCAGTTGTCTTCAGTGTTGATCATTTGTGCCTCATAAATCGGTTCATTTAATGGTATTTAAGAGCTCTTTCTTATGTTCTGTGTTCTGAGTTTTTAAAAACATTTTGTTTTCTAAATTTACAGCAAGGTAATGTAAATGGATATAGAGCAACTGTTGTATGATGCATTTGTCCCATCTGCAAAATCTTTAAATAAAAGTGAATGTGCTCTGTGCTTCTGAGTGGAGAAATTTCCAATTGTTATAGCAACATTAGAACATTTTGTCAAATCTAGATGAAACGTGAGCATGAATATTTTCTTTTACCAAGAGGTGAGGTTCAGCAGCGGGTACACAAACTGGCGGACAGTAAGTGTATCTGACATGTTTTCAAGGCTCTCATGGGTGGAGATCTTTGCATGGCAACAAGTGCAGGTGAGCTGCAGAAAGGAGTGTTTGCAGAGTTTTCTTCCTTATCTGGATCCAGAATGTAAATGGCATATGAGACAGGCTGAGCTTGAAGACAGATTCAAAAAGAGCCTCAACCTAGGCTGCAAAAATGGTGAAGAATTTTCTTTTTAGAAAGCTAGGATAAGGATCTTGGAGAGAAAGTTTGGTAGTATGTAGCTGAGAACAGTTATACGGTTAAGTGATGCAGTGTATCTGTAGAGGCACAAGTGGAGCAACAAATGGTGATCTAAAAAAGAGGTATCACTGAATAAGTGCCATAATGTGAGGTCCAAATCAGTATACCAGGTCTTCCATGTAGAGTTTGGGGCAGCCAGAGTCAGATACAGTGAGTACAAGGATAACCCAGACAAAGCTCCGTCCAGCTGCAGACCCTGAATAAAAACCCAAAACATAAAGTTGAGCACATTAATGAAGACTTTTAAATATCTATGCAAGTCATGCTACTTGGAAGAACTGCAAACTGAAATGAATGGAATTATTTTAAGGGCAAAAAATAAAAAAATATTTGAAGTTGCAGAGCCAGGAGAGACATGGTGTAGTGTGTTAACACTGACTGGATGCCTGGTACCCATCAAGCTGCTCTTTCACTCCTTTCCTAAGCTGGTCAAGGGAGAAAAGCATGTCATGAAAGGCTTGTGAGGTGAGATAGACGAAAAGATCACTTGCTGGTTACCATCAGGGATAAAACAGACTTGGGGAAATTAGTTTAATTCATTAGCAATCAAATCAGAATATGGTAATGAGTAGATCATAAAACCCAATCTAAAAATCACGTTCCCTCCACCCCACACGTTTTCCTGGGCTCAGTTGCAGTCATGATTTTCTCTACCTTCTTCCCCAGGGTGGCAGAATGGGGAATGGGGCTGCAGTCAGTTCATCACATGTCTGTGCCGCTCCTTCCTCTTCACACTCTTCACCTGTCCCTAACACAGGAGACAGTCCTGCAAAGCTTCCCGAGCATGAGTTGTAAAATAGCTTGTACTGGAAGGGACCGTAGAGGTAACCAAGCTCCAAGCCCCTGGCCATGGGAAGGGACACCTACTACTAGACCAGGTTGCTCAAAGCCTCATCTGATTTGACCTTGAACATGTCCAGGGATGGGACATCCACAAATTCTCTGGGTAACCTGTGCCAATGCCTAACAACCCTCACAGTAAATAATATCTTCCTAATGCCTCATCTAAACCTACTCTCTTTCAGTTTAAAGACATTTCCCCTTGTCCTCTCACTCCACACCCCCAAGTCCATCCCAAGAGTCCTTTCAACTGTCACTAGAGCTGCTGTTTCACATTCTGATCCCAGCATTCTTTTAAGCTCCCTTGAAGTGTTAAAAGGCTGCAGTAATGTCTGCCTGGAGACTTTACATCAGCAAGCTGAAGAACCCCAACTCCCTCAGCTTGTATATGTAGGAGCAGTGCTGTGACACTCAACTGTGCTTGTGGCTGTCTTTGGAGGTGCTCAAAGAGGTTCCATTGGCAAGAGCACTAAAGACCCAATGGTCGGTCGATAAAGATGGAAAGATGAGAGGAGACAAGGATGCAACAGATAATTCTGATTTGCTGGGAAAACCAGGCAGTGTTTTTGGAAAGAGGTTGCTGCAAGATGCTCCTTGTGGAGGCATCAGGGAGAAGAGGGGTGAGAAGGCTGTTTGTCTGAGGGCTCGGTGTAGGTGTTGAGTGGAGGTGACTTCCCCCCGTCCCCCGGGGCGGTTGCTGCGCTGCTGAGACAAGAGGCACTGGGAAGGGTTTTGTCAGAGGTCTTTATTTGTTGTGTCATGGAGAAGTGAATAAATAGNTGGTTTGTTGTGGTGGCGGTGGTTGTGGAGGGCAGTGTTGGTGGTGCGGTGGGGGAGGTTGTGTGTAGCGGGTGATGGGAGGATGTGAGGTTGCTGAGGGTCGTTTTATTGGTGATGGTATTCTTTGTATGGAGGCATTTTTTCAGGTATGCTCTCTGTGGTGTATGAAACCATCTTGGTTTTAACACATGCTTCTGTTTTCGTGGATTTGTGGGTTTTTTGTTGTTTCCTCCTTCTCTCTGGTGAGCTCTTATTGCTTTCGTGTTTCGCTGAATTTCCCTTTTTGCTTCTAGATGGACTCTCTGCTTAACTTTTGGTAAAGCAGCTTGGCCTTTACCCTTCCTGCCAGGTTCATTGGCTGTGGGGGACAGGGAAGTTTCCTACTTTCCTTTTTTTAAGAATGCTTAAACCAGCCTCTTCCAACAGTCCCAAAGTTTACCATTCCAAGGGTTTTTAAATAGTATTTGCTGAGAATTGCACTGTTGCAGATGCGCAAACAAAAGTTCTTAAAGCAGAAGCCTGGAAGCTTTAGGTAACTGATAAGTTACCTGAAGCTGCTGAGGTTTTTGAACTTTCCCTGCAATAAATGCATTATGGTCATTTACTTTATAGTATAAAATCCTATTCGCACATTTTAACTCTGGGGATTTCCAGCACCGCCCTTCTAGTAGCAGACATGGAGATTCCTCCCTTGAGTGGGGATACCCCTCTGCATTACTCCTGGAGGCTGAGGAAAAGGGTTTGCCCATGGTCACTGCACGAGTTACATCATTCTCTAGTTATTTTTAAGACAGCTTTGAAAAGTTTTATTTGGTCAATAGTGTACTATATAAATAACTACAACTACCTGTAATATGTAATAGATAATTCTGATTAAAGTTCTTAAGTCCAATCATTATCAATAATAATTTTATTCATTTTTTTTCCTGAGCAACGTATTACTTATACGAATATGTCCCTGATCCTGTGGGACCAAGTCATATAAAGGGTCACTTACTCCTGTGTAATTCTTCAGGCACAAACCTTGACTAAGTCTGAGACTAGGATTGGATAAAGCCGCTTCCAGACTCTCTTCTCTTAGAGGGAATTTAGAAAGCAAGGGGGTCCTTTCCAAACCTTACCACTCAGTAGAAGGGCTTCCTTGGTAAATGTTATCCGAAGCTTCCATTTTGCCCACAACACTCTTCAAGTTGTTTTGTAACTCTCCATTAATTGTTTTTTTGGTTTTTTACTCGAAGTGAGGCATTCTTTGTATTTATCTTTATATTCATAACAATACATTGTTTCTTTGTACATTTTGGGAGAGCTGTAAAATAGTTTATTTCTCAGGATGTTCAAGGAGATAGCTCTGGGTCTAAACACCTGAGGGCTGAATGTTTTTTGGTAAAGCTTCTGCAGTCTCTTTCCTTCCCTTTTGTGGTTTGAACCTCATTGTGATGGGGGATAAGAAGTCTTCTCTAAACTGCTTTTGAACAGAGAAGGAGGCAGAGTCAGAGATATTTTTGTGTTGGAATTGTTTTTGGCTTTGTCCCGGTTGAGGAACTTTTCATGAGCACTGTCTCATTATGCTCTGCTGAGGGAAAGGTCCTTTATAAGCAATTTGCAGTTTCCAGTGTTTACCTGGTGAAAATATGTGTGTGTCTTATGCCCTCATACTACTGAAAGTTCTCGGTTTCTCTCTCTCTTTTTTTTTTTTAATCATTGATTGTTCATAATTTCCTTTCCACTTTTTCAATTGTTTTTTAATGGTCTTTTTTCTCTGGGTGTCTCAAGTGCGCTGTGATGCTGAAAGGAGGTGGTATCAGAGGAGGTTGCTGATGGCCTTGTCCGGTGATGCTTTTAGATGTATCTCCAGGAATGGACATCATTTAACCTTCCTGATCCCCCTTCTGGTGTTGTATCACCTTCACGTTAAAAAATAATATTAATGCATTTATTCCTGAGGAGGTTTTAGCTCCTTCAGCCACCTCAGAGAAGACAGAACCAATGAGGTCCCCATGCCTGGCGTTACAGGGTGTTTCTGGTTAGGAGGAACATCAGGAGGACATTAGTACAGCGTGGAAGTTTCATCTTGAGGGGTCCTGCACTGTACCTGAATATATAAGAGAGCTGGTGTAAGAGCTCACCGAGCCACTCCCCATCACTTACCAGCAGTCCTGGATAACCAGGGGGGTTCCAGATGACTGGAGCTTGGCTAGTGTAATGCTCACCTACAGTCAGAAGTAGGATCCCAGGAACTACAGGTCTGTCAGTCTGACCTTGCTGCTGGGGAAAGTCATGGAGAGATCATTCTGAGTGCCATCACACAGCACACACAGGAGAACCAGGGGATCAGGCCCAGCCAGCAGGGGTTTAGGAAAGGCAAGTCCTGCTTCACCAACCTAATCTCCTTCTGTGACAAGGTGGCCTACTCAGTGGATGAGGGAAAGGCTGTGGATGTTGACTTCCTGGCCTTTTATAGTAAAGCTTTTGACACCATTTTGCATAGAATTCTCCTGGAGAAACTGGCTGCTCCTGGCTTGGGTGGATGCTCTGTTCCCTGGCTAAAAATCTGGCTGATGGCCATGCCCAGAGAGTGCTGGTGCATGGAATTACATCCAGCTGGGGCCAGTCACTAGTGGTGTTCCCCAGGGCTCACTGCTGGGTCCATCCCTGTTTAATGCCTTTATTGATGATCTGGACAAGGAGATCAAGAGCACCCTCCATTGATTTGAGGACTAAGCT